GCGGAGGACGCCTACCAGGCGGCCCTTGCGGCCGTTTATCGGTAGAGCGAGGAGGACGAGCGGCGCAGAGCGAAGGCGGAAGAGAAGGCCCGCTACAAGGTGGCAATGGAGCAGGCCTTTGCCCTCTCCGCGGCGGGCGACAGCGTGGTGCCACCGGTGGCCCCGCCGTCCCCCATCAAGCCGGAGCCGCAGCCCGAGCCCGAGCCCGAGCCCATCGCGCGCTTCTCCTGGAATGGAGTGGTGCGCGAGTGGGTGTCCGCGCCACCAGTTTGGCTGGGGGCGACGCCGACGCAGGAGCAGGCCTACCTCAAGATGTGGCGCCAGCGCCGGCTGGCAGAGGAGCGCCGTCAAGGCGAGTACGAGGAGATGCTCGAGCGCGACCTCGAGGAGGAGGCGCGCGAGGCCGAGGAGGAGGCGCGCCAGGCCGCGGCTGCACAGGCGGCCGCACAACCCCTCGCCACGGCACTGCCTGCGTCGGCACAGCCCGACATGGCGTCGCTCTGGAACACGGCGTTCGCCTGGGCCGGGCCGGCGCCGACGCTCATCGACCTCACGGACCCCGAGGACGACGACGACGCCTAGGGCAGCGCGCCGCCTCATAGTTTAGGCTGTTTTTATTCTTTTTAAATGCAAATGTGGACGCTTGGACTCTTGCCGGCCTTCGTTGCCGGTTTTAATGTTTAATTAATGATGTTTCTTTTTTTTAAATATGCATGCGTTTATTTTTTTTAACGCCGTTAAAATGGGTCTCAGGCCAGTGTTGGGCGCAGGCGCCAACCCAAATGCGGAAGCGAACATCCGTGTCTGTCTGGCCGATCCAAACGAAAAAAAACGGACGAAATCTCCGTCCGTTTAGATCGAGAGTTGCTCTTAGGCCGTACTCTGACCCCGGCAGCTTTGTGTACCTTGTTGTACGTACTCCGCTCCGTCAATCCCGCGCGTCCCCATCGGCCGCACCCAACTTGTCAACCGGCCCGGCGCGCACGGTCGGGGCGACAAATGCTCTTTCCACCGCAATTCCGCTGCCTCTTTCCGGCTGCAGTCGTCGGAAAGGGACTGAACCTGGCTGATTACTTCAACACTTTGCTTGATGATGATGGTTCATTTTACTCTTCACCAACGTGTCTTGTAGTAAATGGCTATGGGTTTCGTAACCGTGTGGTACGTACTACGTCCCGTTACCGCAACACGTACTACGAGGCGGTGGCCGACCCGCGCAATCGGCTCGTCCTAGACAAATCTTGTCTCTGCCACAATTCCGGCAGCAGCCAGCAGCCCCTTCGTCACAGACAGATTCATTTGAGCCTCTATGGCTGGTTTTGGGCCAACACTTTGCTTCGTTTTTTTCTTTGAGAATCCTTTTGAAAGAAATTGAGAATCTTCGCGGAGCGTGTTCACTTCATCACTGATATGTTAAACTTGTCACAAACATCGGTGTTCATGGCTAAGAAATATGTTGAGGTTTCAGTTCGTAGAAAGATCACATTTTGGATGGCGGCGACTTCCCTGGTCATGTGAACTTACCGATTCGCTTGGGGCGTTTCTTCCTCGCCCGCTCCCGCGACCACGGAATGGCGGCGGCTGATCCACCTTTTTCATGTTGAGATCATGTGGCCCCCTATCCCTTCATTTGTCGTCGCGCCGGTGATGGGAGGGGGCGGGGACTCTAGTGCCTCCGTTTGGTGGAGGTGGGTTAAGGATAGAATCTAGGGTTTGGTATTCGATCGGCGGTGGCGAGATGATGGTGTCACCGTCTGCGTGGAGTAATAAGAACACCCTAAGTCGCCCCCGTTTTGGTAGTGCCTATTCGTATCATCAAGAGGCGTGTGAAGGCTATTGTGTTATGAATCTGGTTTTTCATCTGCCTTTTCTTCTACAAATTTATCTAAGTGGCATTGTCCTGCAAAGTGGGCAGCTTGATTGTGCATCTTAATACTTTGATACTTCGGCTCCAGTTTCGGCCGGTGCAGCTTGACCAACTTCGGTTTTGTCGTAGAGTGTGTGAGGGTTGTGTCCCCTCGCTCTGTCTGGATGGACCCAGGGCATTCCACATGCCCTCTCCGACGCTTTCTTCTTCTAGGGACCGCTTCGTGTCAATATGGGTTTAAACAAGTTTGCTCCGTTGAAACGGAGGCTTAGAGACGGCAATGAATTTTGCTTGTGACGTGCCACTGATGGATACAGAAGAGTGAGGACTTCAGCACACATTCGAATGTGTTTTAATTTTTGTAATGGTGTTTTTATGGATGTATGCATTTAGTGTAAGGCTTTTGGCCTTTTCGAGGAAAAAAAACATATGGATATAGTAGGGTCTGAATACAGTCATTCAGACGACTCCGGGTCGAATTGGTCATCGCAAGGGGACTCCGTGTGTACCTGATTTCTATCGGTATGCGCACTCCCACGGTCACGCTAGGCAATTTCTTTGTAACTGAGATCTGAGAGGGTAGTTGCATGCCGGGTTCATACTTCCCGGTGACTACTTCTACTAAATTGACTTACACCAGGACTCCAGGAGAGTCTTTTTTTTTTAAAGCCAACGGCAACGGTGATTTGGCGCCAAATTAACTACCAAACGATGGGGAAATGCGGGAGCCATCTACGTATACGCGACGCGTAATCAGATAAATTGTTTCCGTTTGCCTATCCAAGCTCTCTGTCGGCTATGGAACGGATGTTGCGCTCTTTCTTTTTGTACTTTTCGAAAATGCTCTTTGTTTTTGTGATATATGGATGTAGCTAGAGTCTTGTGAAGTAGCTTTCTAAACAACGCTAGACTTCGAAAAGTCTAAAAAATAGAGAGGAGAACAAACAACAGAGAGGATAACCACCCGCAAAAGGAGAGAGAAAGAGAATAACCAATCATTGGTTAGATGGTTAGTGGGGTGGTGGAATCCTTGGCTCACCACGGATCAATTCTCAGAATTAAGGCTTAATAGTCCTGTTGATGCAGATTGTCATTTTTCTGTGGGCCAGGGGCGACAAAAATTTCGATAGGAAAGCATACGACTTCATTAGTTTAGAAGCTCCACAACTTTAATTGGGTCTTTAGAAAGAAATGTGTAAGTGCGCGTGTACAGTGGTATAAGAGTTTGTGTGTATCCCTCACATATTCAATCAGCTAAATCTTTTTAAAGATTTCACGGTAATAAGAACAATAAAATTTTGCAACACCATGCGTGTTGCAACACGCTAACTCACGCAGTCGCCTCCTCTCAACAATTTTTTTTATGGTTCCTCTGCCTTCTGTCCGCGCTGCCGCTGATCTACCTCGTCTCCGGTGGATCCGGTCCTTTCCGATGGGAGGGCTTTGTTTTTAGACGTTTCTTTCATTTTTTGTTTGGGTTTGCGTCCTGCTCAGGAAGGCGCGAGATGACGGTCACATCCTGAAGAGGTGGGCGTGTGGAGGTGTGTCTCCAGTGGATCTGTCTTTGGTGGATTTGCTTGGATCTTGTTGCCATTCCTATTCGTTCGCGTGTCTTCAGGTTGGGTCCTTTCGATCTACGTTACTCTTCATCGATGACGGTTGCTGTTTTGGTGCGCTGGTCCTATGGTTCCTTAGCACGGTAACTTTTCGACTGTCTACTACATCAAGTTTTGCCGGACTCCAGCGAGGGAGGGATGATGACGACGACGCGCTTTCGACTCGTTTCAGTGCTTGTAAACGCTAGGTGGTCTAAGATCTGGATGCAATTTATCATTTCTGATGTTCGTTCTATACCATGATTGAAGATGAATAGATCGGAAGTTTTCTATTTTTTTTACTTAATCTAAGATTAACATCACCATATTATATGGGCAATGAAATGTCTAACCTGACATAAAAATCATGCAACAAATGTAAACAAAAACACGCAGGGCACGCACTTGCCCAGCCATGCCGACAGCCTGATCCGCAAAGTCTTTAGATCTCGCATGAGGGCACAACGAACTTTCAAAAGCTCAATAAAATATATTTAAAATGTATCTCATTTGAAATCCCTCATCACAGGAAACGCGAATATGCAAAAGAAACTTAATTTAAATTTTTGATTTGAAAGATATAAAAGATTGAAAATCAAAATGGTCGCGTGCCCCGCTCCTGCTTGCCACAAATCATTGTAAATAGTACTCCCTCTACCCCAAAATATAAGAACGTTTTTGATACTACTCCCTCCTTCCATCTATGTAGGGCCTAATGCGTTTTTCAAGACGGTCTTTAACTATTGACAAGATTAATAGTACATGATATGCATAATGTGAAAATTATATCATTGAAATCTTCTTTCACATACGAATTTGAGGGTATGCTTTGTGTAAAGCTGCATGTCATATATTGTTGCTTTAACATTTAGTCAAAGTTAGTCTCGAAAAACACAGTAGACCCTATATAGATGGAAGGAGGGAGTATGCTAGTGTCAAAAATGTTCTTAAATTTTGGGACGGAGGGAGTAGCTGTAAGGATGTTGTTGCCTCGGGGGCGACTGGCCGGCGGAGTAGAATGGATAAACAGGATACGGGATTTCTGCCTGCCTTGGTTCTAGCCATGTTCTTAGACATCCAAAAAAAAATGGGGAGCATGTTCTTAGAGGAGTGAAGCTGATTAATAAATAAAACAAGCTAAATTAAACTTCGATACATTATGTCTGACCCCACCACCATATCAGTATAAAACCAAGGCTAACCCTGGCTGCCGCCTAATCATTTCCCAGTTGCAACTGCACCTAATCACAAGTTGAGAGCAGAGCACGAGACGAGGAGACCACGTCCTCTTCCACGCACGCCAACCCCACTAGGACCTCCCGCTAGCTTGCCGGCGATCGTCGACCATGGCGGCCACCAACCCACGACCAGCCGCACCAACTCCACCTCCCGCATGCCTTAACTGATCCACCCATCCTCCTCACCTCCGTACACCGCCGGCCCGCTGCGCAGTCACGTGCCGTCCTCCTCCTTCTTCGACGACGACCGGAAGCTACGACGAGCGCCGTGAATCCTGCTGCAGCGCGCGGCCGGCGACGATGATGGTGATGGGCTACTTCCGCGCGCCGAGGATCGGCGGCAGGAGGAAGGAGAGGAAGGGCAAGGCCGGCGCGGCGCCGCGGGCCGAGGAGGCGGGGCTCCGGGAGGCGCTGCTGGAGCCGGCCGGCGGCGGCGCGCTGCCCAAGGGGTACTTCGCGGTGTACGTCGGGGAGGAGGCGCGCCGGTTCGTGGTGCCCACGGGGTACCTGCGGGAGCCGGCGTTCCGGGACCTCATGGAGCGCGCCGCCGACGAGTTCGGCTTCGCGCAGGCCGACGGGCTGCGCGTGCCCTGCGCCGAGGAGGACTTCGAGGAGCTGCTCCGCCGGCTCCACCGCAAGAACGGCTCCGGCAGCGGCAAGGGGAAGAACTAAGGAAGGAGGCCATTAGCTAGCAGCTTAATTGGACGACGCCATGGCAGCGGCACCGGCGGCCGTGCCGTGCCGCGCCCGCGCGTACGTAGAACGATGAGTTTATTTACTTTTAAACTAGCCAGATCGCTTCTCGCTTGGTTGAAGATTGTACAGAGTGCAAACGGCCACATGCATGATGCGTTAGCTTAGCTTCGTGCGTGGTGTGTTGATCGTCATCGTTGGTTTCATGGAAGATTTGAAGTTCATATCATCTCCCTTTGGTTTTTACTGCTGACTTGCACACACAAACACACACAAGGTACGGTCTTCAGTACGGAAGTCGCAAAGTAACTTATGTACTCTGAAAGTTCGGAAAAGTTTCTCTTTTGGAAAGACAGGAAAAACATGCAGGCTAGAGGGCGAAATTTCTTCTGACATTCTAGAAGGTCCTAGATTCCGACATAGGATTCATCGGGAACGGATTCAGCTTGGCTGTTTTTCCACAGGGATGAAATTTCTTTTGACATAAGGTTACTCAAATTTTAGACCTAACTTTGCCAATAATTTTGACCGGTAAAACATGAGTTATGTGCCATGAAAATTATATCATTGATAACCTCTTTATAATACGAATTCAATGGTATGCCTCATATGCTGATTGTCGAATTCCTGGTGAAAGTTAAGCCCAAATTTGAGGAGCCCTTGTATATATTTGGACAAAGGGAATAGGCAGAATCCGATCTCCAATATAAGGACCCATATCTATTATTCAGGTTCACTTTTTTTTTTTTTTGCAAAAGAGAACCAAATCTATTGTAAAGTTTTTTTTGCGGGAATATTATAAAAGTTTAATATAAGTACGAAAGATCTCAAATATAATAAAAAATACATTTAGATCTTTGGACCATGGAAGAAGCACCGTTGCTGCCTGAATGAGCTGTTTTCGAACATGCTCTGCTCCATTTAAGTCGACGTGCCGCTGTTCGTTGATCCCATATTGAAGTTGACACGACCTTGTCGATGGCAGTATGAAAACTTTTGTGAATATGCCTCTAAGGACCATTGAACTCTTTATTCGATCCAAGGAATCTGACACCAAATCTCACCGCCACGTATGCAAGGTGAGAAATCCTAACCTTGCCGACGAGCCCACAAGAATACACACTGGAGCTCCATTTAATCCGTACCGACGAATGAACTTGAGCAAGACCGGAGCCTAGAAGACCGACTCGAAGATTTCAAAACCCTAACCTATGTAGTAGCCGGACTCGAGACACAAGGATTTCGCTCCCCGCCACCAACCGCTGGAGTAGTATGCATAAGAAAAGCGAATCCACGAGCTCGTTAACGAAGATCGATAAGAGGGAGACTTTCACCTAATCGCCTTGTGATAGGGGGAAAGAAAGAGTCTTGTGAGGTTAACAGTTTTGTTTGATAAACTAGCTAAATAGTTGCATGGTGGTGTCGATAAAGGAAATAGGACCGCCTGGACAATGGTCACTAAAATCTGACAAATCACGATGGAGTATTTTCTTTTATCCTTTCATTTTCGCTCACTAAGTACATTCTTATATTATTGTTAGATAAATTAGCCTTTATGCTAATCAACGTAAGGTCCTAATCTCGAACTAGATCAACAACTTTATGCGGAAGCGTACAAACTTACAGGTACTTGGCGATATTTCCCGCGTACTCCATCCAGCCCCTGTGTAGCCCACGATTGCACCTTTGCGTCTCCAGTAGCGAGGAGATGTTGGGGGAAGCAACACGGTGACGACGACGTCAGCAGGGTTGCCGCAGGCACAGCTCTGCGGTGGCCAGTGGTGGAGATGGCCTTCACATACCTCAGCACATATTCAGGATCGGATGGCCTTCACGTACCTCAACACATATTTAGGATCGGCGGTTAGGTGATTTAGATCGATATGCTGTTATCCATAATGAAAACCCCCTTTTCCTTATATATGTGTGTGATGAGTACATGGGACCAAAACCAAACGTGCGGAGGTGTGGTGTGCTTCCGATCATTGCACACCCGGGGTCAAAAGGCTCCCCCTTTTCTCTCATGGTTTGTTTCAACCGTAGACCAAATCCAACAATTACAACTACTTAAACTAATTAATCAATTAATAAAATAAAAAATTAGATACTTCTTAATCAAATAAACAAAATATGTTCAGTTATAGCTTTCACACAAACAAATAAAGAGCAATTACACGCTAGCTCACACACACCATAGGGCTGCATGTGTGGTGTGCTTAATCATCATCACTTTCATGGAAGTTTGGTAGTTTTTTTGGAGGGTTGAAAGAGAGTTTTATTCCATTGTTACAGGGTTATAATCTCGAGCCAGCTGCTCCTCACAACACGGAGGACTCGAGTTCAACCATACTGCAGTACAACACTTGGTGCGGTTATAGTGTGCTAAAAGATGTGCTACCCTGTTTTGATATCTACCAATTTTCAGAGAAACAAAATCCCTATCAACCAAAACTGCTTTAATCTCTGCATCTAAATGACCATAGGCAGACCTAGAAAGAGTATCGCCGGAAAGGATGCTCAGCGCACCTGTAAAATCCGATTGAACAATCACCGGCTTGTCTGAATGCTAAATGACTAGTACTATTCCTTGCATGAGAGCATGGATCTCCGATTCCAGTGCATCATTATAATTGAAAATATATTTGTATGCCACAAAAATCATTGCACACCATAGGGCTTGTGACGCCCCCGATTCAATCGTACACTAATCATGCACGTAAATGTGTACGATCAAGATCAGGGACTCACGGGAAGATATCACAACACAACTCTAAAACATAAATAAGTCATACAAGCATCATAATACAAGCCAGGGGCCGCGAGGGCTCGAATACAAGTGCTCGATCATAGACGAGTCAGCGGAAGCAACAATATCTGAGTACAGACATAAGTTAAACAAGTTGCCATAAGATGGCTAGCACAAACTGGGATACAGATCGAAAGAGGCGCAGGCCTCCTGCCTGGGATCCTCCTAACTACTCTTGGTCGTCGGCAACGGGCTGCACGTAGTAGTAGGCACCTCCAGTGTAGTAGTCGTCGTCGACGGTGGCGTCTGGCTCCAGGGCTCCAGCATCTGGTTGCGACAACCAGGAAGGAAGGAAAGGGGAAAAAGGGGGGAGAAAGCAACCGTGAGTACTCATCCAAAGTACTCGCAAGCAAGGAGCTACACTACATATGCATGGGTATATGTGTAAAGAGGCCATATCAGTGGACTGAACTGCAGAATGCCAGAATAAGAGGGGGATAGCTAATCCTGTCGAAGACTACGCTTCTGGCAGCCTCCGTCTTGCAGCATGTAGAAGAGAGTAGATTGAAGTCCTCCAAGTAGCATCTCTAAGTAGCATATCCAGGTAGCATCTCCAAGCGCATCTCCAGTCGCATCGCATAGCATAATCCTACCCGGCGATCCTCTCCTCGTCGCCCTGCGGAAAAGCGATCACCGGGTTGTCTGTGGAACTTGGAAGGGTGTGTTTTATTAAGTATCCGGTTCTAGTTGTCATAAGGTCAAGGTACAACTCCAAGTCGTCCTGTTACCGAAGATCACGGCTATTCGAATAGATTAACTTCCCTGCAGGGGTGCACCACATAGCCCAACACGCTCGATCCCATTTGGCCGGACACACTTTCCTGGGTCATGCCCGGCCTCGGAAGATCAACACGTCGCAGCCCCACCTAGGCACAACAGAGAGGCCAGCACGCCGGTCTAAACCTAAGCGCACAGGGGTCTGGGCCCATCGCCCATAGCACACCTGCATGTTGCGAGGGCGGCTGAAAGCAGACCTAGCCTAGTGGCGTTCCAGTCCAATTCGGCGCGCGCCGCTCCGTCGCTGACGTCTGAAGTGCTTCGGCTGATACCACGACGCCGGGATACCCATAACTACTCCCGCGTAGATGGTTAGTGCGTATAGGCTCGTAGCCGACTCAGATCAAATACCAAGATCTCGTTAAGCGTGTTAAGTATCCGCGAACACCGAACAGGGCCAGGCCCACCTGTCTCCTAGGTGGTCTCAACCTGCCCTGCCGCTCCGCCACAAAGTAACAGTCGGGGGCCGTCGGGAACCCAGGCCCACCTCTACCGGGATGGAGCCACCTGTCCTTTCAGCCCCCTCATCAGAATCACTTGCGGGTACTCATCGAGCTGACCCGACTTTAGTCACCATCTGTATAGTATGTATGCATGTATAGTATATACCTGTGATCACCTCCCGAGTGATCACGGCCCAATAGTATAGCGAGGCAGACTGACAAGAATGTAGGGCCAATGATGATAAACTAGCATCCTATACTAAGCATTTAGGATTGCAGGTAAGGTATCAATGACTGTAGCAACAATGACAGGCTATGCATCAGAATAGGATTAACGGAAAGCGGCAACATGCTACACTACTCTAATGCAAGCAGTATAGAGTAGAATAGGCGATATCTGGTGATCAAGGGGGGGCTTGCCTGGTTGCTCTGGCAAGAGAGAGGGGTCCTCAACTCCGTAGTCGAACTGGTCAGTAGCAGCGTCGGTCTCGTAGTCTACCGGAGAGAAGAGGGGGAAGAAATAATGAATACAGAGCAAACAAAGCATCACAAAATATAACAAGACAATACGCGGTGTTCGGTGTGCCCTAACGCGGTAGTAGGTGATACCGGTGAAGGGGGAAAAACATCCGGGAAAGTATTCCCGGGGTTCCGTGTTTTCGGGCAGAGGAGCCGGAGGGGGGAAAAGTTGCGAGTTCGATAGGTTAGGGGGGTGTGGCGAACAAACGGACCGCGTATCCAGATTCGTCCCGCCGTTCTGAGCAACTTTCATGTTGAAATTATTTTAATCCGAGTTACGTATTAAAAGATATGATTTTTTTAAAGATTTTATTAATTTCTGGAATTTAATCAATTAATTATTTAATACGAAAAATGGAATTAGGACGTCAGCATGATGCCATGCTGACGTCAGCAGTCAACAGGGTTGACTAGGTCAATCTGACGTGTGGGTC